AAATATTCATTAAATAAGTTAGCAATTTTTTTCATGATCAGAAACGAGAAGTCCATTTACTGAGATTTGAGAAGTCCATTTACTGAGATTTGTGAATTGTTATTAAATGTTTTATTTTTTTAAGATTAGATTAGTGGTCAGACATGTTCAAAACCACAACGTGTGTTCAGCATGTCTTGTTTAACAACAATTAGAGGCCTCCCAGTGAGTAACATGCCTGTCCTCTCAACCTCAGGCTTACCTGCAACAAGCCCAAGACCTGGTCATTCTTGAGAGCATAATTCTSCAGACCCTGGGTAAGTTTAGAGGAGGAGCCGGGTCCCTTTGTTTAGCTCCAGAGACGTGTAACTGTAAAGCTAACCTGCCCAACCTTTGTTCACAGAAACTCTAAAATGTCTTTAGCAGCATTGGAACATGAGATAAATAAAGCGCCTTCTAGCTGCTTCATGACTTATTTCAGCTTTGTAAAGTTTTGTTTATGCTCCTGACGTTTCATTTGTCTGTGTCATGCAGAAAAATAGCATTCCATTTTTCTGACTTTCCACTTMAAGTTTGGAATAATGATATCAATTTTCTGGCTTTCAGGGGGTTTGAGTTTACGTTTCGTTTTCCATGGAAACTGGATTTAATGAAGACTAAATAATTCATGTTAAACATTTGAATTTAGATCTTTGCATTCAGTTTACTAAACTCTTCTGATTTTTTTCCCCTCTTTTTTTTATTTCTTTTATTTCAGCGTTTGAAATCACAATTGATCATCCTCACACACATGTTGTCAAGTGCACTCAGCTCGTTAGAGGTGAATATCTTAATTTGTCTTTTTTTATTATTTTCACGCTAACTTGGTATTTTACAGGTTTTAATTTTATTTCAATTTTCTTGTTCTGTTATTCCAGCCAGTAAAGATCTGGCCCAAACGTCATACTTTATGGCAACCAACAGGTACAGTCATAGTTTTCTTTAACATTAATTTGTTTTTTTATACAAGTTTTGGGATCTCTTTTTTTATTTTTTTGTTTTTTTTTTTTTTTTTTTACATATTCTCAAACTATAAATACACTAAATTTTTTTTTTTTTTTTACATATTCTCAAACTATAAATACACTAAAAGTGTTTTTTCTTGTTTGTTCTGTGTCTGCTTGTTATTTCATCTTCGGGTGTATCCTGCCGCACAGTCTGCACCTGACCACGTTCTGCCTTCAGTACAGCCCACCTGTCGTCGCCTGTGTGTGTATCCACCTCGCCTGCAAGTGGTCCAACTGGGAAATCCCGGTGTCTACAGAYGGGAAACACTGGTGGGAGTACGTTGATCCCACGGTTACCCTCGAGCTGTTGGACGGTATGTGCTGTTCTTGCACTGACAGGTTTATCCATCAGTCACTTTTATCTGGGTTCTGATTAGGGGTGCGAATCTCTGTGTCTGGCGATTCAATTCCGATTTTTAAGGTCACGATTCGATTCTGAAACGATTTTCGATTCTGAAACAAATTTTCTCAGTCTAATAAAGTTTTTAGGGGAATTTGAAGATAAAAAAAGCAATGTAAACAAATAAACATTTATTCAAAACAATTTTTGTGTAAAATCTTTTTACATCTTTATC